ACTTTGTTGAGGACCAAAAGAAGACAATCTCAGGGACTCCTGGTATTAGTTGTCCATCATATGGAATGTCGGACTTGTAAGAGTCATTGAGTGTATCGAAATCTGGACGACGAGATCGCAATTGGGAGACATCATCATAAAATTTTCCAAAATCTTGGAATATCGGAACACGTGCTGGAATTTGAAGCATTCTTTATATTTTGCGTCTTGTTCAAACAATCATTCGGCTTGCTATATTTACAAACAAGGTAAAAAATATATCATTTCATGTATAACTATAAAACAAGCAAATAACATGAGCCGAGATTACAATGGAAGAAGAAATGAGTAATGAGTGTAATGGTTTAGAATGAAGTTGGTTTTACAAATAGAGAAAATAATTCAATGCAAATTAATGGTTTATTCATTTGTCGTTGTTCTGCAAAAGAATCCAATGCAAAGTAATGGTTTATTCAATTGTCCAATGCAAATCATGCTTCACATGACCTTGTTCGTAAATAATCTAATGGATAGATGAACCATTTGTCATTGTCCAATGCAAATTAATGCTTCACATGACATTGTCCGAAAATAATCCAATGGATAGATGAACAATTTTGTAATTGTCCAATGCAAAAGGATCCAATGCAAATTAATGTTTCACATTGTCTTGTCTGGAAATAATCAAATGGATAGATGAACCATTTATCATTGTCCAATACAAAGGAATCCAATGCAAATTAATGTTTCACATGGCCTTGTCCGAAAATAATCCAATGGACACATGCACCATTTGCCATTATACAATGCAAAAACAAAATTCAATACAAATTAATGCTTTACTTCACATGGCCTTGTTAAGAAAGAATCCAACGAAAAAAAAAACATATATTTCCTTTATTCATTCATTCACCAATATAACATGAAACTATTCATACATCCAAGTTACGTATAATCTTTTTTGTCGAATACTTATCCATTGTTTTTCTCTAATTATACTAACATTCACAATGAGTTATCTTTCCCCATATAATTATGTTTTTGAAGAAGAAGATGCAAATGCTTCACTACCTCCTTTTTATAATACTTTAGAAATAACTGACGCTCATATTTTGCAAAACAACAATTTTTTATGGCACACGCTATCTCTAGAAAAAGTAGTCAACCGACTTAGGAGGTTCTGTTCCAGGCCATATAGGAGTCCATCATGATCAAAAGAAGGCCCATTGCACTCTATTCTGAGATTATATTAGCAGTAATCCGACCTCTATGCAGTTACATTTCGTCGAAGGTTTCGAATGTCTATTCAGAATTTCAACCGCGTTATGCAAGCGTTGGAAAATCATGATAGCTTTTTTCCAACAATGTCGGGATGGTCTTGATCAGCTTGGATTGTCAATATACACAAAAGAGACGTTGACGCTTCGTCAGTTGGCCTATAAAACCCCTGCAGATGGTATTGATGAATATCTTAAGATTACCGAGTCAACAGTAAATGAGTGCGTAAAAAAAAATTGTCAGGGAGTCATTGAAGTTTCCAGAGCACAATATCTAAGATCAGTAAATCATGATGATATCGCTAGATTGCTTCATATCGATGAACAATGTGGTTATCCAGGTATGTTAGGTAGTTTAGAATGCATGCACTTTTTTTTTTTTGTTTTTTTTACCAAATAAACATCCCAGAATGGGATGGGGGGTTGAGGCTATACCCCCGACCTGTGAATATAATGGCCCAGCTAGGGCTAAAGAGTCAATGGTCTACATCCAAGTCGGAAATACATAAAGCAACATCAAAAGCAGAGAAAATAAAAATAAAGAACAAAATACAAGGATCACAAAAGAAAAACCGATGTGGATCTAAAATCAAAACCTCAAAAAAAGGTCGTCTTGGTCAGGGTGACCTGTCATGGAGTCCAAAATGTCAAAACTAGTCAGAGGCAGGTGGTGGCGGTCGACCGAATCTGAAGGATGGGTACTCTAACTGGTCCATCCGAATGAGCGTCCGAAGCCGGAGGGGAATGTCCTCAGGAAGAAGGGTGCGTCTCTGGGGTATAGAAGCCCCCGTGCTAGCAAGAAAATCAGCAGGTCGATTCCCCTCCCGGAATATGTGTGAGACATGGTAATGGATCGAGCGGAGGGTGTCTCTGATAAGAGAATTGCCCTAAGGCATGGGCTGGTCAGTATTCTGGAGATTCTGGAAAACCGACAATCATTTTGGAAGTTGTGGCAAATTATGATATATGGATATAACACACATATTTTGGTATGTCAGGTGTCAATAATGGCATTAATTTGTTAGAAACATCACCTCTAATGTCAACTTTTGCTGAAAGTATTGCTCCACCAACTAAATATACCATTCATGGTAAACAATTTAATATAAGATAATATTTAACATATGGTATATATCCAAAATGTTCCACCATTGATCAATCTTTTGTTGTACCATAAAAACCAATGAAGGAATTATTTAAAATGAGGCAATATGTATGTAGAAAAGATGTTGGGTGTGCATTTTGAGTTCTGAAAAAAAAAAAAAAAAAAGCTTTGCAGTTGTCGCGGGTCACATTCGTTTATGTAAAAAAGTGTGTTTAGTGATATAATGAAAACATATGTTATTTTCCACAATATGAATGCCGAAGATCAATGTGACTTTAGTGCACCAATTAGAAATGATGTTCAATTCTGTGCTTCAACAGTTACTCCAACATCACGAGACCACATCTTTTGCAACAATTTTTTTGCTCGGCACAAAAGAATCAATGACAATATTGCCCACTTTGATCTTCGCAATGCATTAGTTGCATTTCTGGCGAAAATATTTTCATGACAATAACTAGTGTTGTATTTTGTTTTTTCTAGTTGTTATAATATTATATACTTCATGTTGGTGTTGATATTTTTTTTCTATTTTAAATTAATGTTTGTGATGAAATTCATTTCGTTTTATTAGTTTTTATGGTTTTAATGTAATATTAGTAATGTGTTTTTTCATTAATTCGAATATGTTATTTAATTCAATTTATTAATTAATAATTAATATATATACATAAATATGTTTATTTTATGCAAGCGTAAGTATTAAAATGTGATTTGTAGAAACTATATAATAAGCTAATAAAACTAGGATATGCTAGGAATATTCTTTTAGAGGAGAGTTATAGAGAAAATATATTGGAGTTGCACGCACGGGTAAAACTGAAAAACTAGTAGAATTTCACTATAGAGGACAGTCTTGTTGTCTACATCTTTGAGTGTGGTTAGAGTTGCTATTAAAGTTTACAGTATTAATCTCATTAGAAAATAAGTTAGTCTTGAAATTTTTATTTCAACTGATTTTCCAATTAATTTTACCACATTTTAAATATACTAGTATGTACCCCGTGCGATGCACGGGACAGAAATATTAAATGAGTTATTTTCACATACTTTGTCCGTTTAAGTATATAAAGCAATAGGATTATCATCTATTTTTCATCTCTTTTAATCAGCGTTAAGTATAATAAACAATATGGTTATAATATATTTTGCACCTCTTTTAATCAACGTTATTTCTTTAGTCAAAATATTAAAATAATTAATATATTATTTCACTAACACATTTATCCTAATTTAAATTTGATTTTAGTATATATATATTCCTTGATATAAGAGAGAATAACAATATTCTTGTTCATCATATAATACTTAATTATTATTTTATTATACACTTTATGTCATATAATGTCATTATTATTTATAAAGTTATAGAAGTTGTACGTCTTATTTATATTTTTATTATAAAGAAAAATATTTAATGCACGTTGGTATTATTTATTTTATGTAATCAATTTAAAATATGTAAATAAATTTAATAATAAATAGTGTATAAATATTTTACTAAATATACACATGTTTTTTGTATTTAATTTTGTATGCTAATTAAACAACTTTGAGTCAGAAAATACCAAAAACTCGATCCCCTCTATGATCAAGATTTTTATAATTTGCATTATAAGGATTTATGGTTTATTTAGCATACTCATCAATGAAAATATATTTTACAAGTATTTAATTATATAAATAAATAAAAAAAATAAAAAAAATATAATCATGGATGCCAATAATATACAAATAAATTTTAAACAATAGTTAATATGTTTCAATTTTAATTTTTTACCGTTAGTAAAACTATTTATTATATCTGGTTATTATCTCTTAAATGGTAAATTATACTATTAATTTGAAGAACAATTTATTTTTTATATGTAACAAAATAAAGCTTAAGAAACAAATATATTGGCAAAGATTAATTCACCATCTTAATTTTGTGTGATTACTTGGAAAAAAAATTCTACCTAACCTGTTACGATTTTCAATAAATATTTGTGGATAAAAAGTGAATATTTGTGAAAAAAAAAACTAATATTATGGTTGGAACTTAAAATATGGTGTAATATTATCTTGACCAAAATATTATCAACATGGATCACAGAAATCAATCATGTAATTTATTATAATGAATATCAATGAAAGTATTACAAATATTAATAAAATAATATTTATCTTGACCAAAATATTATCAACATGAATCACGAAAATCAATATTGTAATTTATTATAATAAATATCAATGAAAATACTGCAGATATTAATAAATTTATTGAAGTAATTATTTGATCATATGTTATTTGATCTTATTTGAAAACATGTAAATAGAAGCAATTAATGCATACATTTAAAAAATTTCCAAAAATAGTATGCATTAAATGTTTCCTAAATTTTTGCTACTATTTTTAGTAAATGGTAATTCTTTATATATATATATAGATTATCTAGCTTTTCAAGAATAAACTATCAACTATAAACCCGAAATTTCATAATGGCTTATTTATCAACTAGGTTTATATTTTGTGAAATTCCATAATTGCCACTCATATTGTTTACATTTACAAACATGCCCTTCCTCCCCTTTCTAAACCCTCGAGTTCAAATTCCTTATCTGGTTATTAGTATGCACTGCTCACGAACAGAGGAAAAATGGATTCATTCGCACTGAAATTTCCTCAGTTCACGCTTACCAGCAGAAATCGCTCATGGGCTTCAGCCAGTGGGAGCAAAGCTACTTCATCTTGTACATTTTCTCGCGTTTTTCCATTTTCTTGTGCGCAGAGGTCGAGGTTTCGAGGCAACTCATTAATAATGGCAGCGGCTAAAAAGGAAAACAAAAACATAAATAAAAGGAAAAATGAACATAGCTTCTACCCCAGGCCCGATGAAGCTACGGGCCTTTTTCCTGAAGCTGTGCTCCTAAAAGAGGTAGCTTTTTTTTTTTTTTTTTTTTTTTTTTTTT